AAACAGAGAAGCGGATTTTTTTTTTTTTAATAGTTCTTCCGGGGCCAGGAGCAATTGAAAAAGAGAAGGTGCGTTTTTAGCAATAATATTGTAGTGGAGGTGAACACTTGTCACAGAACACTTGTCCTGTGCTTAAAAACGTACCATTATGGGTTGGGATCAAAGTCCTTTGGCTTAAAGGAAACCCTGTTTTTGTTGCTTTTTTTTAAATGTGCGACTTTATATCTGTGTCTCTGCTATAGAAGTGCTGCAGTAGTGTTACACAGTTTGCTATGAGGAAGCTCTAAACACTATGTAAAGCAATTAAAAATTCGAACTTGTTCTAAGTGATTTTTGTCATCTGTAAACAGATTTTGCTTGGATTTTTGTTTTTGACGTGGGCTGTAAATAGAAATGAGGGAAATGAGGTACAGCAGCAGGTAACACGGCTGAAGGGACTTGTTGAAGGTCATGCATTAGATCACTAGGAGAGCTATTTAGCCCCCCCGATGCCTGTATCTAGTAATAAATCCAGTTTGCTAATCTTCCGAGAGAATTGTTCCAAATGAGCAGAACGTCAATGGTGGTCAAAAAAAAGATTATTATTACCTGTCAGTTCTTTCTAAATTCTTAAATATTTCAACAATGAAGGTATTGCTGAGGAAATCAGTATATATCAGTAAAAAAAGTAGTACTTGCTCAGAAAGGCTTTGATGAAAGATGAAAAGTGGATAAAGTCCATATATTTGTCAGCATAGCATATTAAATTATTCTCTACATAAATTATTCTCTCAGGCTGAACATGGGAAACTGCAGGACTTGGGTGGTCATCTTTGTCTTTCTTGCCTCCCCATCAAAATCCTGGAAGAAGGCAGTCTTTCAGAGGGAGTATGACTTAAGAGGATCCTTGGTTGTGCCTTGGCAATGCCTAGACCCTTGGTAGTAGTTCATAGTTTTACTGCCACCTGGTGCAGCTATTTTTGTAGTGGGACTAGTTCTGATAGTGGCTTTTACTGTTATCTGTGCTAAAACCATTTGACGGAGAACAAATGGTGGTGATAAAAGACAGTCTACATCAGCGTGTGTGGTGTTGAAACACACAATGTAGTCATATGTCTTGTACCACAGCCAATATTGTTGTTGTCACACAGTCAAGCAGCAGTGATGGTTTGTCATTAACATGAATACTTGAATGAAATCTATATAGCCATGCTGTGTACTTTATTCAGATTAGGTAAAGGAGAAGAAAAGATTGAACAGTGCAGACTAAGATGCTCAGCCAGCTTTTTTTAGTAACTTGTTCTTTTCCAGTAGATGATTTCATTTCTGACAAATAACATCAAATTATTTTGTAAAATCTCTGCTTCAGACAACTTGTGCAGCTTCGCATGGGTTACTTCATGGACATTGTTTTGCATGCTGTCAAACTTGGGGCTTTAATAGAAAGCAAGCAGTTCTGTTAGAAATAAATCAAGGGAAAGTGTTCTAGATTTATATTCTACTGGATTCAGCTATGTCTCATGCTGTACAAATTCCATTATTATGCTGTCTATTACACTCTCTGTACTTACCTTTTACAAAGTGTTTAAGCACTAAATAGTAGAGCCTTGTTGGTTTCTTGTATGTTTATCAGTACCCTTAAAGCTCCTCAGACTGTAGGATTCTCGCACTCTCGAAGAACTGCTCCCCCCACCCCAAGCTGTTGTCAGTCTTATACTCTTAAACTGTTATGGCGACAAGGTTTTAATAATCTGTTTTCTTTAGTTTGGTCAGTGTATTTTTGCAGTAGGCATGAAATAGAAAGGAAGACGCATTTCATAAAAACACAGAGCCTTTTAACATGTCTGTTTTTCATGTTAATGTTTTTTGGAAGACCATTAGAATTGATAGCCTTCCAAAAGCTTAAAACCGTCTTTGTATCCTTTATTGGTTGTAGATTTGGGATAAAATATATGTATGTGCATTATTTTCTGTTACGATACAGTAAAACTATGTAACTTATTTTGAAGCAAGTGTCTAACCATTTGCTTTTCAAATTTAAACTTTTATAATCTTTTCTGATATACTGAACTCTAATCCCTAATGATTGTTTGTAAAATACCGTTTTTTAACCAAAATGTTCACCATTAGTTTAGGAAGAAGATGTAGTCGTATGATTTTGCGCGTAAGAAATCAGTGGATAAGTATTTGATGCTTCTGCTGTGTAAAATGCATTCTAGGCTGTGTTCAGACGAATGCTTGATACGAATTTAGAGAAGAACTTGTGTCTGGAGTACAGCTAACAAAAAATTACTAATTTAATCTGCCTGTTATGCCTTGACCTGACCTCATTGGTGTATATTTAGATGATTTTATCTCTGTCTGCTACTACTTAACAGTTGCATTATGCAACCTTTATTTGCTTAAAGAGGAACAAAAAAAATCATGAAAAGATGGAGATAAAACAACAAAATGCAGGTTCTACCCATCATTTTTAGTACAAAATGAGCAAGCCACTAACTGAAAGCTGGAGAATAAAACATCTTCAGATGCGTCCAGGTAGTGACACGTTGTTTTTTGCATAGGAGGAACTGACAGGAATCTCAGGCTTGAGCCTTCCTTTCTCTTGTATCTTTTCCACAGATTTTATGGAGGGAAGGATGGGCCTTTTAGGATTCAAAAGGTGAGTATGTAAACTTCCACAAGTCTCCAGGTCATACATAATGCAATGAAAACACTGGATCATTAAAACGTTTTGTGATGAACTGTGCAAAAGAGTGATTGAATTGGTGTCTCATGGGAAGCAATTAGCATTTAAATAAGGAAAAGAATCCCAGTGTGTGATGGGTGTGGTGCTGAGATTTTTAAAGGGAGAATTGATGAAACAATTTCATCAGCAGTTGTTTAAGAAAGCTTTGTTGTTTTAGAAAAATATAGCTGAAAAACATACTTTGAAATAGTTTTGTTCATCTTTGAATTTTACAAAGTTTTTTTTTTTTAATACAGTGATTTCCTCATGTTAAGTTCACAGAGGCATTACTCTGAGGGTAGACTGACTAAGTCACATAAGTCAGTTATGTAAATCAAATAAGCAAGAAGTCTTGATTTCGGGTAGATGACTAATTTTACTCTTTTTCTATAAAAGACTAGTTCTCAATGGTTTACAAACCACCGGAAGGCAGGTGTAAGTTGTGCAAAATTTACATTAGGAGTGTGGTATTAAAAATATGCAAGCCCTGTCAAGGTGCGTGTGTGGGAGGGGGTCTGCTCAGCTTCCTGCCACAGACGCCTGCTGTTGGGTCTGCACTGGCTTTTGTGCTGGTCGCGCCCTTCCCAGGGCTGGTTCAACTCGCTAACCTGGTGGCAGGATCTGACCTGCGCCCGCGGCTGGGAGCCGGGGAGGGGGAACGCGGTTTGCCCTTCCCTTGGAAGGGAGCCGTGAGACCCACTGGGCCGCGAGCACAGCCTCCAAGCTTGCTGATGGGTTTTTTGAGGCTTGGTGGCTGAAGCAGTGCTCCCGTCCATCCTGCCTGCCCCCCTTCCCCCAGTCTGTTGTGCTGGCATAGCTGTTTGTGCAGCTGTGTTGTGAACTGAATTAGGGAACTGATTGGGTTGAGAAATAACTGTTTTGTTTGCTTGTCTTATGGGTTGTGCAAAACGTAATGCAGAGAGCCATGCAAACATGGGAATTCACGGGCTGGGAAAGGGTAGGATTTCTCAATCCAGGCTAAGGAAGACTGCTGCTGAATGTGGGAACTGTACCCTGAATTTGGTGACATTTCCTCTTACTTGAGGATTTTTTTTTTTTTTAAATCAGATGTTTGAATGTTAGAAAATGGCAATTGAAAAACTGTCTTGGAGGTGGAGAACTTCATATTGCAAAATGTCAGTTTGTGTTTGAATAGAAATAAGAATTAAATTAAAAGGCATGTAGAACAGCTTAAAATTGATTATTCCACTCTGAGATTTAGCGGATACTTGGCATTGATATGCAGGTACCCACTACTAAACGAAGTTCCTGTTGGGATTTAGAAGTCTCTAATCAGGTTAGGTGCTTATCTGCCGCTAACATAATGGGAGTTAGCTGTCTAACCTGCTTACAGCTTTTCTGCAAAATCCTCCAGGTGCTTATATGCATCTCTAGCTGCCTAAAACTGTTGGAAAAATTGTTCCCTTTTCCTTAAACTTCACAGCCTGTCTCATAATTTACAAGATTGAAGGAGGAAAACGAACTTCCCTACTTCAAAATGACAAAACTGGTTTTCTGTATTGTTAGCTGTGCTTGAAACCAAAACCAGTCAAAGGTGAAAGTCTTCTCATATATTTGCATTTTTAGAAGTAGGTGTTTCTTCCTTAAATGCATTTTAAATTCAGTACCGTAAATGGAGAAGGAGGTCCAGAAATACTGACCTGAAAAGCTGCATTCCTAATTTGGTTTGAATTGACTTTAGAGTAACAGCCGCGGTTCTTGCATAGACAGGAAAACATTACATGAAATGACTGAGGTTATCATTGCAGCTGTTTATCCTGTCCTCTAGCCGCTCTCTGCAAATGCAGAAAATCATGGAAGTCAGGTTGGAACCTATGTCTGTTTACTTCTAAACCAAAAGCAGAATGGTCAGCTGGGGGCAGTAACCTCATCGGGCATGCCAGGTTACAGCAACCTTGCTTGTGAAACATAATTTTTAATAATATGGCTTATGTCTGACATCCAGCATGGCCAAGAAAACAAAGTAGGAGGAACTCTTTTGTGACTTGAAATGTACGGTGCATAAAGGACAGTTCTGTCAGCTGACTGTAAACAGTGAATGTTGCCTATGCACCTCTAAAGGTTATTTGAATATGGTTAAGCCAATGTTAATTACTGGTTTTGAGATAAAGCTGGCAGAGATGCTGGGGAGAGGTATTATCTTGCTTGTTGTACTGTAGAAATTGTACTTATTTCCCTCTTGCAAAAATGTACTAAATCCCTTTTTTTTTCCCCCCCCAATTAAAGTAAGAACTAAGACAGTGGTCTGTTTAGCAGACTCTCTCTTTTTCAGAAGTCCTTTGAAAACAACAGTCAGGCCCCCAATGCACTACCCCTTCTTCGTTCTGCACTACCACAACTAGCACAGATCCACGTGCTATGCTGCTGGGAAGAAGGTAGGTAGTTATCAGTTTCTGTAACTTCCTAGTAATTATAGGAAGATGATATTCAAGTTGAAATAACCCCCCTGACAATACTATGAGTAGTAGAAATAGGTGGGCCATGCTAGTACAGTAGCTAACCAGCTGATTTCATTACAAAAAGCGTCAGAGGAATTTCTGTCTTAGGACGTGTGTTGCTAGGGTTACGGCAGCCTGAAAACAAGCTGTTGCTGGTGGGCTGGTGCTTGTTTCACCCCACTTTTTGGACCTCTGTGGATAGGTTGAAGTTGGAAACTAGATCAGCAATACCAGACTGCAGTGGCAATGTGCTGTTGCGTGAAAGCTTAAGCTGACTTAAAATGGGGTCTGCTGTGGTCTTGGCCATGTGAGTCTTCCTTCTCTTGCACTGGTACTGGTGTTTGTGCAGCACTGTGGCAAGCAAATCTGGTGAGCTGAGCGGGCTGAAAACTATTTGCTACTTTATTGTTAGGATTCTTGTTCTGTCTCTTTAGCTCCCCGAATTGATTCGGCACAGTCAAATCTGTGCAAGGGTGGGATGGGACTCTGCAGTTTTCTAGGGCAAGGAATAAATGACAAGAATGTGTCAGCCTTGACTGAAGTTGGTTTAAAATGCCATGGAGCTGTACCCCACCTGTAGTTGATGTGATGCATGGCAACTGACTTTCTTGAAAGAAATATTTCTCTGCTTTCATTTGGTTAAATCTCTTCTCTTGAATCTTAAAAACTTACTCTTCGTTCATACTGAAGCCTTCTGAAAGGTACTTGGAAACAGGACTTTGTATATTGGAAGCTGACAACTTTGAGCTAACCTTAAAAAGCATGTTATAGTGTCACGTACGGTAAAGCCTGAACTGACCTTAGAATGGCAGATTTTTGATTTGATTTTTTTTTCCTTTTTCTATACTGGATCGGGAAAAACAGGTCACTTGAACACCTCAGGAATGGAAGGCTTATGCTAGTATAACTTTAGTGTTAGGTTTTGTAGCAATTTGAGACCTTATCCTAGGTTACCAATTCCAATTCTAAAGAAAACCTTGTTTATCCTTAGAAAAGGGAATTTGAATGTGTTTGGTTTTGGATGTGCAGTTAGTGGTACTATGCCCTCACAGATCTGCAGCACAGGTGTGAGTATAGTAGCTTAGAATTGTAAAGCTAGCACAGCTTATTAATTTATAGGACTGCTCCTGTGGTTTAAATTGCCATATGTAAGTGTGGTGCACATGTGGAGTTCTGCTGCTTTTTTACCCCTATCTAAAAATCATGCACTGACTCAAGTAATTTATACCAATAGGAAAAAATGACATATAGACTAAACCTGGGACTGAGTTTACAGCAAACGTTTTAGCATAACACAAGGTTTCTTATGTGTATACTTTGAGCTTCTTCAGGAACATTCAAAGCAATTCAAATATGGACTGCTTATTCTCTCAGCAGATCCAAGGATTTGATTTTAACATGTAAGGAAAGTATTTAGGCCTAACTTGCATTGAATTCACTAGGTGCAAGGTATTTAAATATCTTAATTAAATGTGGACCCTCTGAGAGGCTCAAATATAGACAGGGTTGAGGTGATCTGAGTTTTTTCTTGTTTTAATTTTTTTGTGCTTGCTCTAATTTTAGAGGGAGGAAAACTATATTAATCCACAGTTGAAGGTTTTGTGACTTAACTGATTTGGTTCAGGATTGGAAGTGCTGAGTGTGAGGGAATAGATGTTTGGTGAGATCTCTTCCATCCCAAAGTATCATCTTGGAGGAAATTTTGCAGAAATTATTTTTAATAAAGTTAAAAATGTTTTTGTTGTAGTCATGAATTATTTTGTAAAGTATCCTGATGTAAACTTTGTAGATGCTGCTGAAACGTTTCTAAGCAGCAATATGAAGTTAACAAAACATTCGTTTCATAGCTGCTGTTTCAAATGTGTACCTGAAAAGCTGACTTTCTGTTAACTCCTCTTTCCTGCTTTGGAGCTAGAGTGAGAGAAGCAGTTGGAACTAGTCAAAATAGTGACAGAAGTAATAATAATACTTATTCCTTTAAATGTTGGGGTTCTGTTATTTAGAAAATGCCTTGCCTTTTAGCAGTCAGTGAAGGAAGTACTCAGTCTTACTACAGCAGTCAGAGGCTGACATCGGTAGTCTCAGGCTAGCATACAAGTAGGAGACCTAGCATCCTTCCTTTTCCCTGGTGTTATGAAGGAGTAGGGAGTTTTGGATTCTCGTCATACGTTTACGAACTTTAACGTACCAGTGATTTCCCCACCTTTTTGTAGCATCTTAGTGTAACTGCTTCGAGCAATGCCTTTAAACACGGTGCGTTATCTGATTGCTCTGAGAAGCAAGATTCTGCAGAGAATAAACCTGCTGACATGAGGAAGTAGTAGGCTGAGAAATTTAAATATTTGTATTACTCGCAGATCCCTTGAGATAACCGCAGGGTCTGTCTGCATTGCAGCTAGAGGAGTCAGCTTCAAATGATAACGTGGTTGTCTACTGACAAGCTTGTAAGATGATGCTCCTACCTAATGAAGATTGAATCTCGGTGAATATAGCTTGGAGTCTTGGTGAGACCTGGTGATGGAGCACAGTCAGATCTGGTTTATGCTGTAGAAAAACCTTGTTGCAACATGTTCTCTGTGCATGGTTGTGGCTATAACTTGGATTAGGTTTGAGAGGCTGCAAGTGGAGTCTTGCTTTGTTCTTTCCCTTCAGAATTGAACTAACGTTACAACAGGCATAGGATGACTTTATCATCTTTGTGCCTGCCTTCCTTTAGTTATTGTGTGTGTGTGTGTGTGTGTGTATATCTTTTTTTTTTTGCAAGCATGTGCCTAGAATGTTTTGAGCCTGTTCTATAGATGTGAGACTGCAATAGCATGAAACTAGGGAGAGCCAAATGCATTTCAGATATTGATTAAACCCGGTAGTCATCTGTAATACAGAAGGAAACAATTGGCACTTTATATGTAATATAATGAAGCCATTTTGTATGTGTTTGCACGTTACCAGATGATGGTTATTTTCAGTGTGTATGGAGAATATTCACCTGTTCTGTAGTTAAAATTATAACTTGCTTTCTGTAAGCCCTCTGTGCTTTGCAAAACTGGGCTGTGAGTTAGATTTGTATTTAAAGGTGATGCCATCCATTTATGTCATGCTTACGTTTGAGGCTTTATCAAGCATACTTTAGAAGCTACGTCCTCTTGCATTCTTCAGATCCATACGTCATGCAGTAGCCCTCCTGAGATGTTTTTATAGAAACATTTTTCTTTTTATGAAGTAGTAAATACAGCAGTCATGTTAATTTCCACCTCGCGTGCTGTTTGAGGCTATTACTTAACTGCTGCCTTCAATCCACCAAAGGGATCACATAGTCAAAACAGGCTTTGTGTAATGTCACCTTTATAATACGCTAGCAGCTATAGGAACAAGTGAGAAGGGAACTGTTCAGATATGGACTGACTCAGTTTTGTTTTAGTGCCTGATAAAGTACATCAAAGTTTAGAAAGTTATTTCTTCTCTCATTTTGGCCGTAACTTCTCCATAGCTGATAGCAAAAGTTAAGATTATTGCGAGAAGTCTACGGGCCTGATTTTGACAACTGAAACCATGGGCCTTTTTAAGTATTATGTTACAGCATTTTAAAGGCTTTTTTCAAGCCAGTTAAATAATCCATAGACTAAATAGTAGATATTCATTAGATCATTTTTGTCCTCTAAGTATATCAGTCTTGAAAGAAAAAAGTTTTTTAATGAGTTTATTTAGGATATTGGATTTAGTATCACATGGCGTGAGACCTTTCTTATGTGGGGAAAGTTGCAGTGGTTCAAGTTGTATTTTTTTTTTTCTTACGGCACTGCAGTGAGAAGTAATGGATTTTCATCCATTTGGGTGCAGCCATATGTTGATTGAGCTTATTGTAGGAGCTGGGTCAAAGCTCTTATGCCCGTGGTTGGAAACATATCCTTCCAACTGACCTGAGAATGAATGAAGCTATTTATTACCTTAAGTTTGTAGGTAGCTTCAGAGTTGCTGCTGTAGAAGGTAAGTTTTCATTGTAATTTGGAGAGGGGGCAATCTAGAACTTGCTGAAAGCCCATCAGTAACACTAAGAGGCGTTAATTCAAATCAAGAGAAACGTATCTGAAAACTATCCTGCAGGCAGAGGGCTGCAAATGTGCTGTGAGGAAAGGAGGGACAGTGGAGAGCCTTGTCACTATGTCTAGGGTAGCCCCAAAGCTTGGTAAGAGGATATATCTGAAACTAAAGCTTCCACCCTTCTGTGCCCGTTTCAGACTTTTTTTTTATTATTATTTTTAAGTGTGCCAATTGAGTTTCTAGCCTGTAAAGACAAACCTGTGATAGAGCTGGGGAAGGCCCAGGTTTATTGTCATTGCTTCTGTAGAGCTGCATGAGTGAATGGATGAGGCTTAGAGGAGAGTGGAAAATGGTGAGAGGCAAGGAGTGAGCAGCCCTCAGGTAGGGGGTGAAACTGAGTAAGAGATGGGCACCAAAATGTTTGCTTTAGTGGAAGATGGCAACCACCTAGCAATCCTACTTCACACTGTCAGTTTCAGATGCATTTTATTTCTTTACGAAGACTTTACTCCTCAGTGTCACGTATGCATCTCAGAAAAGAGAGAGGCATAGTGAATCTGGGAGAGAAGTTACGGCAAGAGTAAGATGCACAAGGTAACTTGTAAAGTCTGAGACAAAATCAGTTAAATGTTCTATGATTCTGTGCAGTAGGCGTTTCTTTTAAATGACAAGGTATGGTCTGGGAGTGCGTAGTATCACAGGTGGCTTTTCATTTGATGAGTAACTATTTTAGTAGGTGTGACACTAGGAACATTAAGGCTTTGGATCCTATTAATCTCTTAACCTTACTGCCAAAATGAGTGTTGATTAAGGTTAGTTTTAGTGGTAATGTTTGTGGCTGTAAGCGGCTGGAAACTTACTTGAGATGACCCGACTTTGTATGGGTCACAAGACAATGA